ACGAATTACTCACGCCTGATTGAACTCGGCAGTTTCAGAAATCCAAATGCACATAAGAAAGTGTGGTTGATTAAGTGATCATTGTAGAATCACAATTGGCTAAGAATTTTACCAAAGATGAGCCGTGCACGATTTGATTTCCTAAAACGGAATTTGCAGCTGCCGGATTGCTGAAGTCAGGTTATGAGGATTACTTCATAAGACGTGCCGGCGATGCTTGGTATAGCTCATAGTGACAGTGTGCAAAGCTGAAAATAAACCGGCACAATATAGAAGAGGTAGCCTTTGTCTAAGGAGCAGTATATCAGATGGTAGAAAATGAGTCCGGTTTCTGAGATTCTTAGCCCTGAGATTAGTGTGACATATTAGTTAAGAATACCCATCACTCTCCCTCCACAAGTCCTTTAAAGTTGTTTCAGTTTGCGGGCCTTAGAGTCAATACCTTCCAGAGGTTTTGCAGATGGTAGAAACTGGGTGACTTTGCTGCAGCATATTCGACGAAGTGATGAAGTGCCATACGCGTCAGGCTAATTTAAGTAGGTTATTGGAGTGTCAGTTCAAACAGCTGAAGCTGTGAACAAAGTACGCAGCAGTTCGAAAGGGTCACTTTTATTTGGCTGGTATACAACAGAATCGCGGGTGATTAGGTCTTTCCAGCGCAAAATACACCCCGGATTCAATGATACACTGATCGATTTCCTCATTCAGTGACTAGTGCTTACCGTATTTTTGTAACTTACAGTTCGAATTATTCTACTCCTGTACCATGTACACCATCAACTGCTTGTGTCCGATGCAGTGCACTTTTCCGAATCCGGGTCAGCTGTGAAGGATAATTTTACCATTTCAGCCGATATTTCTTCCTGTAGATAAAGCCATTGTAAGCCAAAAATCCGCGAAGCATGTTACGGCTATTTCACCTATATGAGAAATAATCGCTACCGTCTATGTTATGCGAACGTCAAAAAGAAAATGTCAGGAAGTTATTCTGGTTATTTCCCAAAACTGCATTAAAGGGTGAATGTGATAAAGAACTTAGAAAATATTTGATTCTTTATTTTCACACAGTTGTAAAGAAGAGATTGCCCCAACAATTTTGTTGTTTACCCCGAGTTAATAGGACCACCATACTTCCTCAGATGAAATTCATGGATAAACAATAAACTGTTAGCTTTGTGACTAGTTCTTCAAAGCTATTGCAACCAGAATCATGCAAACTTTTCTTAAACTAATAAAGATCAGATTGGTCAAAATCTGATCAAACGGAAGGTGCTAGCTGTTGAACTGTGTACTGTGGAACACTCGTGTAATACAATACAATTAGTACCTTTGTAATGTACTACTCATAAGATTGCTGAAAATCCATCGACAGCCCACGACCGGTTTCGCCCTTCTTGGGTCTCATCAGGTAGGCGCAGTCCCTGAGAACATCATAAACGGGAGATTCAGCTGGGTTCCAGGTGAGTCTCTCGGAAGAACCAAATTAGTTTACAAATGAGTGTATATTCGACAGTTAGTACCATTTTATCCTCTAAGAACTGTTACATATAGTAGCAGAAGTTTCACAACGTCCTCAATTCTCTTTGTCATTTTAAGATGTCATTTTTCACCAAAAGCGAATAATGGCACCCAATCTTATTTTGACACTCTGTTTGACCTACAACTGTCGTATTATTGTGTTGGGTCAACAGGAAGATTGAACTAGGCAAGCCCCAATATCTAACAGTGATGGTTTAGCTTTCAGGTTCTGAATTCTTCGGCGAATCCGGGATTGGTAGATCAAAAACCACTGGCACAACACTCGCGCATTAGCAAATACGGAACTGATGTAAGCGAAGCCCCACCGACGTTCCATACGCTAAGTCGGCCTCTGACCATAGTGAAGCGGTAGCATCCGACGTCTACAAACGACAAACCGGATGATCAGTTAGCTTGGAATATCCCCTGGAAAACTAACGTAATGTTGAGGGCGGCGTAGTTTTTTGTTTTCGCCGCTGTTGTCGCTGCTGTTGTTTATTCTGTTGAAATTTAACCCTATCAGTGAATGTGATGTTTTAGCTCTGAGACCTCATCTAGAATAAGACACCACTTGTGCAGACATTTCCGTTGGAGACATCGTGATGTGATACGCAGAATCCAACGAGTTATTTTTCGGCCTAGATTCTAATTAAACATTCAGTCAAAAGCTCCAGGCTGCGGCTAATGTGTGCTGTCCGCAACTTTTCTACCGAATTCACTTATTGCACTCGGGGACCCAAAAACGTGTCGCAACTTCGAAAAATATAGTTGGTTTTTCTTGCAGCCTGCGAGTAATTCCTTAATAGTTGGACAAGCAGGCTATCCGTTTTCATTCAGAGAACCGCTGGTAAACACCTATCAGTGCGCAGGAGCTAATTATTTAGACCATTATTAAGTGAGTATAAGAACAACAGCCTCTCTGCCACCATCTACTTAATAGGGATGCAAAGGGTGGTGTTCTTACTTTGGCTTCGGAAGGTTGGCGGGAACGCGAATTATTCTTTATGGAAGACTTTAGGACACTATCCTGGCGGTGGTCATTCCGTATAACCAGCTTATTTCTTTCTTGTTTAAGTGTTCTCCAAACTGTTGTCAACTATGTTGCATTGGCTCATTCCCGGGATGGGTTTGTGGGGAAATTCTCTGTTAGTGCCCAACTGGTCATCCACAGGTATCCAGCTGTAACTCTTGGTGGATGAGATCAGGATGAGATCAGGCTGAATAGTAACAAATAATATTAATAATAACAATAATAATAAGGGAATGGCTTAGAAAAAACATCATTTCCAATACTGGAAATTCTTGGGCTCATATCTTTTAATATTATTTTGGTGTGACCACTAAACTGCATACCCTCAGTAAGTAGCTAATAGAGAAGGTGAGAATTAGACAATTAGACAAGCACTAAAGCAATCCAAATTTTCATTTAATTTGAAAAAAATCAGAAGGGCAGTTTAAGCACTACTGGTTGTTTGGCTGGCTCTATACGATTAGAGTAACAATCCTTCCTCAGCCAGACACTTCGCCATGAATTGCAGCCCCATAAGAGAATGGTGTAGGCAACTTGTTACTTCCCGGTTATTTCAGTCTTATTCTCCCCAGAATACAGACAAAATGAAGTATTACGCGCAAAGTATTTATTTCCTAGTGGACTCGACACTGAAATGAGGAGCTTTCTGGTTACTATTCCGAGTATATATCGTGTCAGCCTCTTGGTGTTGGTGAATTTCTCGACTTTCGGAACCTCAGTTAAAAAATCCCTGGCACTGCACTGAAGGACCAATATTTATCGGGAATACCCACAGAAAATGTGACGTGCATGCAAACTAACCACTATAGATTCAACTATGCCTTGTGTGCACACTGGGGGGAGTTCATCCGTCAATTAGTCCAGTGTATATCGACCCAAAATGAAGTGGAACAGGCAATTAAGCACACGCCGCACCATTATATTGCACCAAAATTTTATTCGTTCGACTCAACTGGTTTTCGAGGTTATGATCGATCCGGATGAATCAACTCCAAGCATCATGCTACAGAGATAGCGCGCGCACTTGACTTTGATTTTCATTGTGACCTAAATGAAACGAAAAGTTTTCAAAAACACAGGTAGTTATGTCTTGATGATGGGGCTGTTCATTTACAACTTTTTTCCAGCCTAATTGATTCCTCAAGCTTTTCAGTTGCCATTTGGTTTGATACGCTTTCGCTTAGGGCAGAAGAAATATGAGATGGGTCGACTTGGCGATCAGTCGTTCTGACTGAGTGATGTAACAACTGTGTCATTTGGATTAGAAGACTGTTCCTAAGGTATTGCAACGACTCATAGCCCAACTGGGTGTTTGGGAAGTCAAATGCACATCCGGCACTTTTAACAGGCATTTCCGACCAGGCCGTATTGAAGAGCGATCTGAACATGAGCAGCCCCGAATTATCCGAGGTTGTTAGAGAGGACAGTGGTGCATCTGTTGCTCCGATGTCAGGGCAGCGTGGTTCTTGTAAACAATGTGAATTCGATTCGGATGAATAGTCGGTTGAGGACCTTGATGATCCGTACTTCTCCCGTTGATGGTGGTCAAGCGATGACCGTCTGCTGTAGTTAAGTCCAATACGTTGCCTCCTTGTCAGTTCATAATCTTGCCTAACTGATCGGAACTGAGTCGGTGTTTGTGATAGACGATAGGGAGATTGAGGTTGTTTTTGTGGTGTTTTGGTTGCCGTCCTTAATGACATGTCAGTTGACTGATAGTGTTGTCCGTTAGCTGTGTCAGCAGATACGGTGATATGACCATCAAGATGAGACATGAACTGTGCGCTCGCAGTTGCTGATTCTGAATTCAATGTAAGGCGATCCGAATATGCGAGACCGTTGCCCGTGATGCTCGTCTCTTGAGTAGATGAAGTCGACAGGTCGTGGACTCTCATTTGAGCGCTGTTTCTTGGCTGTCTCTCATTCTGGACCGCTGGAATAAAAAAATAAGCAGCCTAAATCCAGTGAAAAACTTGAAAGGAACCCGTGGTATATGAGCAAATTTTAAGCCCTCAAATAGGCGTCTATGAGACCTCGCATTAACTGGAACAAGAAGAAAACACGTCTCAAATAATATTTTAAAATATCCAGAAAACTGAGTAAGATCTGTCACGATGGATCACCTTGTGTACTCCAAGAAGATCGAGTTATCCATCAGTTTTAACACACAGATCTCGTTGATCTTGTCAGACGTCTCTACCCTGCTCTTAGGGAAAACCTCTGAAGCATATTGTTCTAGCCGCTGTCTGTCGTATACCCTCGTTAGGTGCAGCTAGAGTTTGAAGACGGTAATGGCGTTGCCAAAGTGGGAGACGTGGGAGGTGGCAGATTTGTGTTTACTATGATGAGTCTACGTGAATATCTGCGTTAGGATATTTCATGTCTTTTCTGAGTGAACTTAACTCCGATATCTATAAGCTGGTATCAACCTGCGGGAATTACCTACGTCGATGGCATTCCCAGAGCAGTGCAGACACTTTTTGGAGGCTTTTCCTCAATGTGATAATAAGTAACAAGGGTCTAAATTACTTTTTAAACGTTCTTATATTAGCTTTTTTGTGCATAAAAACGATGACAATCCGCATGTGGAAAAAAGGATCATCTGAGACGCACTGGTCCAATGTAAGCTCACGCAGTCTTTTTGCACATTTCGCATACCTAAGGTAGGAATGAGGTAACAGGATAGCATTATCAAAGCAACAATCGAATGGTTAAAGCAACAATTTATATAGAGTACCAGCAGCTTGGGAGAAACCCCATTTTAGCTAAGATACTACTCATTCTCTGGTTCATCAGCTAACGGTTGGTCTCAGCTCGTACGACTGCCGTCTTTTCCAGACTGTGTTCCCATTAAAGGTTTTAAAGCACATGCAGTTAATTTAATCCTTTTGTTCATCGCATTCCCATTTTACCCATTTGCACTGTACCAGACATTCTAGACGAGACCCGCTGGAGTACACGGTAAAACCACGCGCTGGACAAGTTGGCACCGCCTCTGCGGATCGAGTGATGTGAGGCTTTTTCAAATTTTTGACCGCCTATGCCTCAAAAGCGCTGATGGCTTTGGATGGCGCCACCCGACTAACAATCAGGTGTTTAGAAAACAGGTATTTAGTGGTGCCAGGTACTTCACCCGAAGAAAATATCGAGCACCACCGACTACAATGGCTTGGCCATGCACTATGCATTCCGAAACACCGTCTACCTAGACTTGGCAGAAAGGCGTGGAAGAGATCATTAAGAGTATGGGCGTTGTTGGTTTTGTACGTCTTCCAAGAGTGGGATTCAATGAATCTGCCTGCGTTTGGCTTGATGCACCGCAATAAGTAGAGGCTGAACGGTATCAGTGACGTACTTTCAGTTTCTTCCTAAATCGACTAATCGAGCTCTTGGAGGTGTGAGCACCCCAGAATGTTTGAAATAGGCCAGCACCAGGTCTCTCCCTCCCCCATTCTTTTTCTGTTGTTTTCACTCCATATAGTTAGACAAAACATGGTTGTACGGCAGTAAAGCAATCAGTTCCACCCTGATACTTCTCTCTCTAATGATGATAATGTTGATAACAATGATAATGATTATGATGATGTTGATGCTGACGTTGATGGTGATGATGATGATGGTGATGATGATGATGATGATGATGATGATGATGATGATGATGATGATGATGATGCATATCCCTTCGTCCACATATCTAGCGAGAGAACTGGACAGTCATGTAGATGCCACTAATAGGATACAACGAGTACAACTTAGCCAATTCTTGTTGCTTGCTTACGCTATTAATCTGCGATAGTTACCATTCATAGATACATCAATCGATTTCATGTTCTCAAAGGTGGCATACATCTGTTGAAGTAAAATGTTGCCAAATTTATTCGCACTTGCCATGATCCATACAAGAAATACCTTGGTATATTTTACATCGGCACTGAGTATCCTCGGCACTAAATTCCCCGCATGTTTCTTTGAACTCAGCGGAACGAAATATTCGGTCAGTATTTCGATAGCGGAGTTTCAGTTACGTTTAAAACTGCATATAATACTTTCTACACCACAGCATCTCACCCGATGGCCTTGGGTGTTCTAGGATATTCTCCGTCCGCAAACGAGTTCGTTCTGCAACATTCCAACAAGCGTCCTGACACTTCTAGGGTGTTTGGCATTCTGAGTTAACAAGTTTTCCTACCTCGGTAATAATTCCGTTTCATTTTGTAATTAATTTCGGAAGCTGGTCTTTCTACAGTCCGATTATGAATACTGCATTTGTAATGAAGCTGAGAAGTGCTACTGACTGGATGACATTCTAAAGAAATAAGTAATCTGTCCCTTGAGCACGAAGTCAGATTCTCAAACTTTACCATTACCTTTGCATAGTCAGATTAGATGGACAGGCAAAGAGGAACTGCGCAGTTGGTAAGATCTAACAAGCAGGTGCTCCTGGTTACTCTGGCGCTTAAGATGTGCGGTTGGTGGTAAATAGCACAGAACTTTGCTATCGCAGTGCATAGTAACTAGCTAGGGTAAACACCTTGGAAGTCCTGCCAGCACCTGTCTAAACATCCAGTTTGTTCTATGAAATTGATTTTGTTCAAGTGTTGCAGTGCATTCTTCGTGTTGCGCATTGCGCATTTTTCCACCTCCAGCGAGGCTATATTTCCGTGTGAAGTTACTGGAAAACAGCATGCGTGGAAATATTTACAGGTTTGTTGAATGGGTCTGCATCAGGATTCAATAGCGTAGAAAAGGCTTGGTCCACATGCCACTTGGTGCATTATGGTCCGCTTCCATCGCTGTTGCTTCCAACCAATTTGTTCCCATAGGCCACAAACCATGATTGCACCGAAGTAGGTAGGTCGCACCATATGGTGAGAAGAGATCCTAGTAAAATAAACATTTGCTATTTCCATAAAGGAAACTACTCACAAGGTTGCAGATGAGTGTATTTCTCAAAAAACTCAGCGGAACGAAATATTCGGTCAGTATTTCGATAGCGGAGTTTCAGTTACGTTTAAAACTGCATATAATACTTTCTACACCACAGCATCTCACCCGATGGCCTTGGGTGTTCTAGGATATTCTCCGTCCGCAAACGAGTTCGTTCTGCAACATTCCAACAAGCGTCCTGACACTTCTAGGGTGTTTGGCATTCTGAGTTAACAAGTTTTCCTACCTCGGTAATAATTCCGTTTCATTTTGTAATTAATTTCGGAAGCTGGTCTTTCTACAGTCCGATTATGAATACTGCATTTGTAATGAAGCTGAGAAGTGCTACTGACTGGATGACATTCTAAAGAAATAAGTAATCTGTCCCTTGAGCACGAAGTCAGATTCTCAAACTTTACCATTACCTTTGCATAGTCAGATTAGATGGACAGGCAAAGAGGAACTGCGCAGTTGGTAAGATCTAACAAGCAGGTGCTCCTGGTTACTCTGGCGCTTAAGATGTGCGGTTGGTGGTAAATAGCACAGAACTTTGCTATCGCAGTGCATAGTAACTAGCTAGGGTAAACACCTTGGAAGTCCTGCCAGCACCTGTCTAAACATCCAGTTTGTTCTATGAAATTGATTTTGTTCAAGTGTTGCAGTGCATTCTTCGTGTTGCGCATTGCGCATTTTTCCACCTCCAGCGAGGCTATATTTCCGTGTGAAGTTACTAGAAAACAGCATGCGTGGAAATATTTACAGGTTTGTTGAATGGGTCTGCATAAGAATTCAATAGCGTAGAAAAGGCTTGGTCCACATGCCACTTGGTGCATTATGGTCCGCTTCCATCGCTGTTGCTTCCAACCAATTTGTTCCCATAGGCCACAAACCATGATTGCACCGAAGTAGGTAGGTCGCACCATATGGTGAGAAGAGATCCTAGTAAAATAAACATTTGCTATTTCCATAAAGGAAACTACTCACAAGGTTGCAGATGAGTGTATTTCTCAAAAAACATTTGCTATTTCATTCTGTTTCCAGAACGCCGTGTACAAAGGATATCCGATCCCGGTGAAGGCTCACCTGCCATGCTGTGGTAACGGTTACTAGTACCAACCACGATCGCTCTGCGCAATCTTCCGCGTCTAGGAATTTGAAAACGGCAACAGTCGGTTGCATCCATTAATTGTTTTCTGACCATTACAAACTTGTCCTTTTTGACCTTGGTTCTTGAACCGGAAGTTGGGGTTAGGACAGTCAGCAGCGTATACAAAACAAGTTCATATTTACCATGGTGATGTGTGATACTGATCTTTTCAGGCTGCATTTTTGCATGGGATCGTTGAAGCTTCTGTTACGCTGTGTAGGAAGACTAACCATGAAAACACCGTAACCAAAGCAACCAGCTAATGCTGGACTGATAAGTTCCCAAGGGTTTCGTGTCACCAGACATTCGTGGCGGATTTTGTTGAAGCAAAGCTTGCAATGCTGATGCAGGTTGAAATATGAAACACATAGTATCATTATACATTATCAGACCTAGACAGTCACTTGGTCTGTTTGCTTTAAAACAACGATCAGTATTAATTTGTACTGAGGGAGTCGGGCATGAAATACGCCCACATGAAGGACGCCGGGATAGCCGACATTTGACACATCTATCTTATCTTAACTAGATATCGTACCACTTAATATTATGTAGAAAAGTCTCATCCATTTATGCATTGTTCTGGGCCGGGACATGGATATTCAACCGTAAATATACCCTCAAGGATATTTGTAATGTACTACTCATAAGGTTGCTGAAAATCCATCGACGAGAGATTCAGCTGGGTTTTCAGGTGATCTCTCGAAAGAACCAAACTAGTCTGCAGATGAGTGCATATACCCTCAAGGAGTTTTGCTTTCTCGATGATGGTAAAACGGCCTTCCTTCTGTGGTGCACTATCTCACGGGGATGACGTTATCTTACCCTTATCTGTTGCAGTCCGCAAAGTGGTCAACTATTTGTAGGTACTTATAACAATCTACCAATCTACCACTGACTGAAATAGTTTCGGAGTCGGAAATCACTCGGTGGATCTAAAGGTAATACTTCTTGCTGGTTTGCATGATTTAGCGTTCCTGTTCGTTTCATTTAACTAAAGGACCAAACAGCACAGTGAATGTACTGAATGAACTATCGGCTCAAAGACCCACATCTCTTTTGTAGCTTTGTTTACACCCAAGCAGTATCCAAACAGCCCTCTTCTTGGTGTCCGTTCCACGTTGTACATAATCAGTCCGCTTTTCCAGTAGGAACCGTCAGGGAACACAACGATAGAAAGGATCAAATGTAAAGAAGGTCCAGGCTACGTATCTGGCTTTAAGTTGTTTTTTATCACCGTTGTTGGTCACCTACTGAAACCAATCATGTCAGTCCATTTTGTGCGAGGTTTTGAGTCCAAGTGGTGAGAATTCACAGTCAAAAAAGTAAAAGCAACAGAACTTTGTTGCACTAGTGGATTTGGATCAAGCTGGACCGGTAAATGATCGAAAGATGTGGTTCAATTTTGCGATGATTTCTTTTCCAACACTTGCAGCAGTTGTTCTCAAACATATCAGTTCATTTTTGCAGCTTTCGAAACCCCATATGGGTTTAGACAGCCAACAGCTGACAAGCATGGATTGTGCATTTTGATACGGTACTGAAAGCAACCATATTTTGACCATCACTGAATAGGTCTCAGATCGACTGCATCGTGGATTTTGTCATGAATAAATCCCCACCAACAGACAGAGCAGAGTTGTGCTTCCACTCTAAAGTTCTCAGTGGAAGTTATCGTTTCCAAATCAAACGGATCGGACCTGAATTTAATGAAAGTTCGGCTACCGATTCTTTAGTAAGGATCTGAAAACTTGCGCACTTTTCTGGGCCATCAACAAACACCACGTCATGTTTTAGATACATGATATAAAACTTTTATACAATCCACTTCATAATATTTTTCCAGTTTATTTTATACCACTTCTTTGTTTTTCCGCGACAAATATATGGTGATACCCACAATATTCGATATTTTAACCAGTGACCCCTGGCGATGATCTCGCGATGTGAATATGGTTATTAATTTTTCATGTTTAAGTAAAAATACGGAGTTCTGTCCTCATTTCTGAGCCTGGAATTACACTGACAAAGGTAGCGATGATCTTGCGATGTGAATACGGTTATTAGTTTTTCATGCTTAAGTAAAAATACAGAGTTCTGTCCTCGTTTCTGAGCCTGGAATTACACTGACAAAGGTTACATTACCTTTATAAGCGTCGGAAATTTGGTGTGCACAGAAATTACCTTACAGAAGATGTAAGTAGTTCCTAAGTACTTCATCATCTTTATCATGGGCAGGAACATTTGATAAGAACACTAATGTCTCACTTCCATACGACCACCCCGCTCTATCTGAATAAAGCCTTAAGATGGGAAGAGGAATGTGAGAAGAGAAGGAGAATGTATTGCGAAACTACTACAACCACCCAGGATTACTAAAGCTTCACCACTCAGTTAGACAGTCTGGATGGAAACTGATAACATAAACGTCACTGACATCGTTTGGCCGTGATATCGCCAACCGAGTACGGTGCTGGAAGGTAGACAATGGCAGTAGAAGCCAGACTTTTCGTGACATCTCTCATTCCCTTCCGCCGTGACACACTTTTTCTAGCTCCTTGTTTCCGCCACTCCGAATAAGGCTTGGAAAAATAGTTTTTTTCCCGACACACAGCAACTGGATATGTGTAGCATATGGCCAATCCACATCTGCTTGCAATGCTGGATGCAACAAAGGAAGTATCCTATGCTTCACGGAAGACCTGTATCGCAAATATCTGATTGCAACATCCCTTGTTCCGGCCAATTCTAGCCATATTTCTGAGGTACCTCAGCCCTTTCGTTCGCTTCCTGCCGCGGCCGTACTGTACCACAGCCCACACTGTATTCTGACCATCGAACATTTTAAACCCAGTGGTGTGCCTTTTTGACGGTGCAAGTGGCGCAAATTAGCAATTGCTATTGCAGGGTTTGAGATTCGCCCGTTGGTGAAGTTTACACACGCCAGAGTTAGTAAAACGCCCGAGATACACATGACGTTCTACAGCTCCTTGAGTTTCTCCTTGAGTCTTTAGAGGTATGTTCAAAGACTGTATTTCCCATGGCATGACTTTGCGCTTTGTAGATGCGAACCGCATGCCGAACGACTTGATGACCTCAGTCAGCTTGCACTTCCTGGCACTTTCGAAAATGTGAAGAAAGGCATTCGTATATTCCAGATCGATAAGACTCTCACATGGTACGGTCTTAAAACTGGGATTTTCGGGATCCTGTAAAGTTCCTCCCATTACCTTACAAACGAGGAAGTTTAACAAAAGCACGTAGGGTGAACATTACTTCAGAACACCACTGCATGTTGGAAAGCCTAACAAGAGGTCCCCATATGCCCTCAGCGCCCACACAGTTACAGAAACAAAAGTTCATGACATCCATGAAATTTAGTTGCTCACCTTGTTGCTGAGACTAAACAACCGGATTCGAGCGCCTCCTTGAATTCAGAGAACACCAAGACGGTAAGGCACTTATACGCATGCACTAATATCTGACAGAATGTAAAGCGGTGGTCCTTTCCCGGCCGGAACCACGGTTGCTACTTTGGTCGGCTTCGTGATTTTTCCCTAATTCGTTTGAAATGCGAATTCTCTACGTTAATCAAACTATCCTTGGACTAGCTCCATTTCAGATCAAAAAATTAGCCTGTTTCACCCAGTTTTTCAGACTGTTTAACGTTCTCTATCTATGTTCACACAGAATAGGGTTCATAGAGAGACTACCCAACGATCCAGACTAACCTGATGAGGAGTAAAGTAGCACAAACACGCAGGTACTCACGCTGAGTTTCGCTGAGTTTTTAAACAACTGCCATCTTGGCAATGAACTACTTCACCAGATCATTTCAGTGTCATATGCAAGCACTGGCCCACTGATTTGCCCAGATAACACATATGCTTGCTACTTGTGAAAACTTACCGTTTTTGTTCATACCCATTCGGAGACACTTTTTGAGGCGGCATGCTTGACATTGATTGCGGTGTGCTTTATCGATGGAGCAGAGCCCTGTACCAGCCTGACACCTAAGAGTTCATGAGAAAAGGGAGTACGGATACATCAAATCAAATGAAGGATATTTTAAAGACAATCATAGTACCCATTTCGATAAACATGGCACATCAGAGTCTCTCTCGTGATACATGACGTCAAAATCCGTTTACTTTAACATATTCTGACTTATGACCATTCCATTAAACGTTAGGTTCCATAAAAACACAAAATTAGGCGCGTTCATCCCCATGGTGCGAACTAATGAGAGTGAAACCGCTTTCTCTTAAAACACGGTGGTAGGGGTCGCAAGCCTGTCTGAAGAATGGATCACGATGACAGGAATGAACTTCGAAGTAAAACCTAGATTAGCGGCCTTGCATGACATGTTACTGCGGTACTTATCTGACCCTTCATTCTAACGTGCCGTTAAAAGCGCATTAAACATAGGCATGTTTTTCAGGTTACTATACTGTTAAGTTTTCTAGTTTGTGGACTGAATGCGAGCAGACTGCATGGACCGCTGATTATGCAAGTTTGCAAGGACATTTGTTCCAAACGTTTTGATTACTCATGTTCCCGGTCGAATGGACATAGCGTTATGATCCTTTGGATAAAGCTTCTGGTAAAACGTATAAACATCCAGTCAAAAAGAAAAAGAGACGATGCTACAAAATCGAAACTATGACGATGACACATCTCGATGCTTCGTTGTTGTTTCTCAAATTACTGCTCGTCGAAACGGCAGATTTTGCAGTTCGCTTGGTAAAGCTGGGCTGCAAAATGACATATATTGCACTTGAAGAAGTTACTACTACCTTGTACTTATAACTTTCCCACCAATGTTCCAACGTTTCAATGTTTGAAAATATCGACAAGTGATGGTGTTGCACAAGGATCCTTTTGGAGACTGCTTCCGGCTTAACTTTTAAGGGGTTAGGTAATCGGTTCTACACTGTCGCTGGCTAGACTATGTAGTTTCACCATCAGCCATTGTAATCGGTCTAGCATACATCCTGAACACTTGAATGAGGTCAAAACAGTCAGCTAAATCTTCTCGCTGCTGATGTTCCAAGTAGGAAAATTGCACCAGCACGGCATCCACAGGAAATCAAACTAGTCGACACATTCTACCAACTGAAGGAAAAATTTCCACCAGTTGCTCAGCAAGGGTGTGGGATCAAGAAGGTCCATAAACTTTAGAACACACGATTTCGCAAACTGGTACCCTGAACAGTTCATGCAATACGCGTGTGTTTAGTCCAGTTACCCAGATAGCTGGCTTGTAACGCAGAGTAAGTAGTGGGTGATTGTGGGAAGTTTAATCCGAACGGTGGAAGCTACTTAGATATGTTGACATTTCAGGATGCGCTAAAATGTGTTTTACACAAGAGTTGTTTTCAATGAATTGATGTTTTTCTCAAAAAACCCTAGACGATTTCTTCCGGGCGGTCGGTCTGCAGGAGGAATGTTGTGGAGAACGAAGAGCTTGTGAGATCTAAGCATCATGTGATGCCACCGTAGGGAATATCATGCATAATCAAGGTACGCCACTGAAATACTTACCGATAAATTAATTTTCTTCTGACCGATCGCTTGAAAAAACCACTGCACCCATTACAGGCCAAAATACCGTAGTGCTTTCCGCTACTTACGTCTCCACACACGGAGCAGTACAAACCATGTGGATGGACTTTCTTTAAGTCACTAAATTCGGGTGGGTACATAAGCTTTGCTTCCTTCTGAGAGAACTCCGTACTTCCGGACCCAACAAGCGGCGCTTGTTCGGGGATTGATCCGATATCTGCATGATTTTTAGGCATCGCGTTCCAGCGATGGCTCCCGGATGCTGATGTGTATGGAGGTGTTGGAAAATTGGTCACCGTAGGATGGAAGGTGTAATTTGGTTGATTGCAGTCCCAACTTGTATTTATGTCGCTTGTTTTGTTGCAGGAATTTTGCGGGTGGAATACAGGGTGATTTAGCAGCGTCTGCGGAATAAGCGTGGTTTGTCTCGCAGGAGCGTAGCGCGAAAACAGCTGCATCAACCACCAAGAAGAGCCAGTACAAAAGGGATCCGCTAAAATTTGGTTTGAACAGTGATTGGCGGAGGGATGCCAACATTTTTCGGGATTCGCTATAAAACCTGTATATTCACTATGTGGGATGTCTGTATTTGATGAGCCAGTGAGGCTTGAAACGCTAAAGCTTTTAGACACTTCCTTTGAGAGAGAATTGGTAGCTTTCCTCAGCGCAGAAGTTCCGTCTACTTCAGAAGTGTAGATGTCAGTATTTGGTTGGGGGCGAACTGGAAGAAATGCACGTTCTAGTTGCGATGAACGCGAAACCATCCAATCTATAGTTTTGTCCATCCAGCTTGGAGGCACAGGCGATATCTCAAAACCTGATGAACAAGAATGGTAAAAAATTAAAGGGTTCAAAATGTCTTAAAACATTAACGTTCAGTCTTCAAAACACCAGTGTTGCTCTTGCCTTGCGTCTTTAGCATGTACTCCAGAGTTCATTGTCACAATGTATCGGTAAATATTTTCAAAAACCACAAACAGTCAGAAAACGATGCTAGGACACAAAAACGTATCAGCTCGAAAATATGGAAAATCTAAAAGCATACGACCAATCTTTATTAGGCTTAAAATTTGAAGTTTATCAAATCAAATGTGTTTTCATCGCAAAGACTGACGGTCGCATTCACGTTCAAAAAGTATAACGTTGCAACTGATTTCGCCCTATATTCAGCTGTTTTCTGTAGAGTAGATTAAGTCGTATAAAATGGCGTCTGTGGATAATCACCAAAAGGGGTTTGGAATAAATCGAAGTTCTTTAAACCAATATGCCCTCAGCTGAATGTAGGTACATTCCAACGGCTGCAAAAATAGTCTTCGAAATGTCCATTTCTCATATTACCTATAACATTGTTTATATTAGCTTTCCAGTTACGTTTCACCCCATTTATATCCGTATCACACTGGAACTATTAAAATCATGTGATTTCCTCAATGCATACCTCCACATACGTGACACCCATCTGAACTTTTGCTTCCGAGAGAAGTATATTTGTATCGTAGGAATGGCGGTCCAAGTGTGGTTAAAATGTCTGTTCGCAAGACATCCCATCGTGATTGTGGCTCTTCCTAAATTATCCTAAAAACACTTTTCATTTCAGCAGAGATTGTGTTCTTCCAGTGAATCTAGCCTATGTTCAAAAGCGGAGAAACACTGCGGGTTCTTCATCATTATGATCGTCAGAAATGCATGGCTCACGAAACTCACAGTTTGAAACACATTGTACTCCGGCCACTGGTACAAAACCCAATCACTTGTCCGCGAGTAGCTAAACAAAACTGCGATTAGCTCTTACCTAGAGGGGTCAGAGCACCGCTCGTCCTTCAAACACGGAACCAACATCACGTGTTTACTGGCTCATCGAGCGAAGAATTCTTAGGAAGAACTTTCACTCATCTTGTGAAATTATTATTTCTCCGAGTTACATATAGACAGCTGGTGGTATAAGGTTATTTGATGATACTCAACGGAAAGTGTGAGGGCTAACCACTGCTAATCAGCATCTCGTGGCTAAACGGCTATATATTCAACCACACACCAGGAGGTCGGAACGCTTCGTGAAGTGCGCTCTGTTGTTGATTCCCAACAAGGACGAAACAGTGGTACAGCTCTTCTCGGTTTTTCAGCATAGATTGGCTTTACTGACAGGAGGAGCTCACAATGGTGCATTACTGAATCATCTCACATTGCCATCAATATACATTTCAATAATTTTGCGCAAAGGGGCACCAGGCTAGACTATAAAAATTATCATATTCCGCAAATAATGAATCCGGTAGTTCAACAAAAATCTGTTGAACGAAGCGTCATAATTTTCTTATCAGCGCCACGCTCACCAGTCCCGCTTTATTTACATGGACTTTCTGTCCTCTTAAGTTTTCGGGAGGAAGGACTTGGTTAAACTATGAAATGTGAACAAACATGTTGCGCGAAATAGACAGCCCCATATCGCTCAGATTTTGCGCAATACACAACGAAAATACTAGTGACGATCTCAGGTTATTCCACAATGTCACCAGGAAAGATCACCTATGTTTCTAGACTTCTGTCCGGCAATACAAATTCGGTTAAAATGCATGCTTTCCATCTTGATGATGATGCCAGTCAGCTTGTAGCAATTTTCCCTTGGGTAAACGTCTTCCAGCCTCCATAACGGAAGGGGTAGCATCAAAATTTACGTAAAAATCACTGGTTTCGTTTTTTGCATGTTTGATGCAATCATCTTACGAGATTTGATAGCTGCCTGACTCTGAAAAATAACCAGAAGACGTCATCTAGAGACTTGTTTGTTTTTCCAGGTACTCCGGTCGGTGAGCGGGCGGATTTCGGTTATTCTGTGTCCACAATCACTAACATTTATTTAATTCAGTCACTGTATGTGGTTACCGATAACCTACTTGTTTGTTTTCCAGGTACTCCGGTCGGTGAGCGGGCGGATTTCGGTTATTCTGTGTCCACAATCACTAACATTTATTTGATTCAGTCCCTGGAAGTGGTTACCGATAACCTAAAAGAATCTGGTCACTTCTATCCGCGAAGAATTTCGCCGTGTGCCCAGCAACTCAAAAAGCTTCGTTTTCAAGCGGATCACGGATAAACCGATCCCTTATTTTGCTATCTCCAGCTTCTTTCCAATTTATACTTTATATGAGCTCATATGTTTTCCGTCTTCAAACTCCAAATGCCCTCAATTTTGTGTTTCCAAGGATGGTATTACTCATAAGTGATTTTCCATTTTCCACTACCTCAAGTCTTGTGAATGCTGTAGAATGTCACTGAGTGACACAGCTTTTGAGTGATCTAAGTTACCTTATTGGAGCTATCTACAACAGTGCTGGCAAACTTGCTCTTCACATTTTGAGCCGCTTGCAAGTAAAAAGCGGCACGCTTGCAAAAGAGCGTATATCAGAGATTAAAAGCGTGCATTCAAAATTCCAATATCTCAATATCTGTTGTAATATGACCTCCCGTTTTCTGGGCACTAGATACAAACATTGAAATTATAATCTCGTTGTTCACCTTCCACGAATACGCTTTTGGTAATGTTGGTACGTACCCGTTTCTGACTTCGTCTTACTGTAGCAGGTTTTGAAATGTTACCGATCAACCTAGTTGAAGGTAACGTTTCTGGCCGCGTAAAAATAACAAATTTGACTCGCTCTGCTAATGCTTTGAGAGGCAAGTAATTGCTGTGCTCTACGCTAAAACCTTCAATACCAGCTTCCTTGCTCTCAGTTTCGTTCCCCCGGAAAAAATATCGGTGAAAAATCTGTGACCAGCTTTACCGGCTAGTCTTTGTTGGCCCGAAATTATAAACTATTATTTATTTTCAAAACTGTATGCATCTTACTGTGTGTATCCTACCCAGTTAGCTTTATTATCCGAGCGTTATTCTCGGCACTTCTGCAGAAAGGTTCATGAACTTCGAGTCGGATTTCTAGCCCCAGGACAATCTCAGTACATGTGTTGGCAGATGTCGTATGAATCAACTACCCGTAATATTTTTTCGGCAACCCCAACTCCATTTACCAGTTAGCCAGATTAACCCAAATAGTTTAAACTAACAAGCAACGGTGGCTGAACAAAGTTATATTGTGTTTATTTCCTTTGCTTTTTCTCTGTGTATAGCAATCCTCCATTCACCCGCTACCCACTTAGTTACAGCGTTCGCTGTGAATTGCCTATACCTTACTTGATTCCAAAACGCAGACATATCTTACCACCTTTGTTTGAATTTTGGATATCAAAGAGTTGCGACATTTTATGTGACATTTTATGCGACATTTTACTAGACAAGAGCATGATTCAGTGCTTGTTATCTAGCCTAAAATTTTCGCAAACGAATTCCTCCAAGTGCTTCGCTCAGTTGTCCATCGTAACACTGTGTTTCATGATACGAGACGCTGAACTGAGCTTAACTACATTCTGATAACGAAGCAAATCTGATGTCTTCAAACCACTTAGTTTGTTGACGGTTAGTAGTAAGGAAAATTGACTTGGATGGCATACAAAGAATTAAAAAATGCTCTCAGCTGCACAGCAATTTGGCTTTGAGTGAAAAAAAAAACAAATCCAGCCTAATCTCTCTTTATGGCGGTGCGCTTCAATTGAATTTACTTTACAAGACCCTTTTGGGTGTCAGCTAGTAGAATATTAGGGATATTCAGAAAACTGTTATAGTGATCGGCTAACTTTTGAGCAATGTGTCGCCTTTAGGTACAATATTGACCTTGCGCGAATTTCATTGTTGATAGCGCTCCATGTTGCATTGAAGCTTTTGAATGTTTAACCTGTTTCAACCACTTATTATGTTTCGACCTAGCGCTCTTTTCACGGCTTAGACTGTCACGAACTCAAAGATAAGGAAGTGGAATAATGAGGTAAACCCTCAGGAGATATGTTATGTCACTGAGATAGTATGGCGTTTCTTGGAGGAGATTCAATTAAACTTTGAGCTCAGAAAACGTGCAAGGCATCAAATCTTTTTGCCTGGCAAAGGCATTATAGACACGTAGTGGATGGAAAAAATTCCTGGGAGCCGCCGCTCCGGTGTGTGGTTTTAAAATCACATTTTGATCAGTCGCTGATTTGAGCTCCTTTTCTACAGATTAGTTGCGTCGTATGGTTAGCCTTCTTTTCAATGGCACAACTTTTTTTCACTATGCTCCCTATGAGAATATCTGACTATACCACTGACTCTTCGGTTGCCAAAGTTTGGAAGAATTTATTTAAAAAACACAGCTATGAAATGTTTAAAATTTTGTTCAAGAACGACTGCAATCGCCATCAAAATGTAAGGAAGAAAAAAACTAGTTTGTGTTTTTCTTATTAAAGATTGGTACAACAATACATAAAGTTCGGGTCCAATGATATAGCGATAGAAGTACTCAATAATGAATTGAGTTCTTATTTGATGAGATCCATGTCATTCTATTTATCAGTGTACAAATTATTACTTGCAAAAACTATGGGTTTCCCTTCCCACCGTGTATTTGTTTGGCGGTGACCGACATCAGGTTACTTTTCTCACCTTCACTACTCAGATTGCTCCATAATCCAACAAAAAGGAAGATATGGGGACTAGTAAAACCAGCTGTTTCACAGTGTGCTGAGCAAGTATTCGAAAGTGCAAAATGCTCCTACTGGGAGGTAAGTGATTTTTGTGAGAAAACACTTTACAAAAATTCTGATTGCTGGAATCCGCCTGCCTGATTTCGTCTACCAAATTAAAATGGCGTGTGCTTCACTATAAGTGACGGTCAACCCACGCTTATGGCCTTTGCCAGGAAAAGAAAGAGTTCATCTAAAATCTACACACAG